CGCAGCAAGCAGACGCTGAGCAAGCGGGCACCCAGCAAGCGGGCACTCAGCGTCCATCTCGAGGGTCGAAGCGTCCAAGGGATGATGATCCGTATAATCCGTGGGCATACCCTGGAGATCCGCTTTATAATAAGCCTGGGACTGCTAAGAAGACGAAGACTGCTAGGAAGAAATAGAAGATAGTCTTAGAATCAAAATTTCTTTTCGAAACTTCTGAATCTAAATTCACTAAGATAAATTTATAGTGCTAAGATAGCATCGCCGAGAAAGCCATAAATACTCAGCAATGCCATAATTTACATGAGAAAGCCATAATACTCAGCAATACCATAACTTACATGAATTACATATACCAAGGCCGAATTAGGCAATGTTTGCATTGTTTATAGTGCAGCTGCACTACAGCCAAAGTGCCGCTGCACCGAACCTCGCCCTTGGTGCAGTCGGCCCGACGTACAACTGCACCGAACTAAGGCCTTGGTGCAGCCGTTGCACCAGTACCGTTGCACCGGTACCGCTGTACTTGTCAAGGCCTATACCAGCCGCTCGATAGTAAAGCTTTTTAATACTTAAAATATTACTTTCGTACGGCGAATAACGAGGTTATAATATAGGGTAGAAGCGTTACTATAAAGCGGGATTTTTTAAGGATAATCCACGATATTCGGGATAAAGCTTTTACCTAAAGATAATTCGAGCCTCATTTAGATCTAGGGTATTTAGCCTTTTAACTAGAGGCTATTCTTACTCCTTTACGCTAGAAAGAATTAGAATCCGAGGGTACTCCTCTTCGCATTTTTACCCCCTCCCCCCCGCCAGATATCTCAAGCTCAGTGTTATGGACATGCTAGTTGCCAATCGATGGCGACCCCACATGTGACACGAACGAGCCGCCGAGATCCAATCAAGCAAGTCTTACCCGCTCACACCGCCTTGCCGATCCTGGGAGATGGCTTTTCAGGGGGAAAAAGCACACCGCCTTCATTGGTCGGCTCACGTGACCATGCAGGTAGTAGAACGGTAGACGGTAGACGGTAGATCAGTAGAAAGTGCCAAGGCATTTCTACCACTCTACTCTCTACCCATCTACATAGGAAGAACCCAGGGATATATAAGGACACTCATTCATATATCTAGTTTGGTTCTTCGTCTTCAATTATACATTGTTACTTGTGTTTACCTTTAGATTACCAGTGTGACTTCTTACTTGATTATAACTCGGCAACACCTATCAATTGACCAATACCTCGGTATAGATCAATTGAGCGCTCTACCTGGCAGTGTGAGCGGCCTCAGTGTGAGCGGCCTCGTCTTCTTCCCCAGATGTATCCTCTTTAGCACCATCCTCCTCAACGCCATCCTCTTCTTCATCATCACTAATTACAAAAGCAGCATTCTCAGAAGGCACTTCAGTCTCTTCAAGCTATACTTCTATCTGCTTATCTGCCTCCATTACCTCTTCTAGGTTCTCAAGCCCCTCCTCGTTTTATATAGATAATTGAGCCGCAGCTTGCTAAGCATCAAAGCGTGTTATACAACGTACCATTATAAGATCTTAGATAGTAGTTATATATAGTGACCCACGTCTGTAGTGGCAGACATCACGCGCTAAGCTAAATAATCGTTCTACGCCTACACTAGTAGTAGGGATAGAGAAAACATCTCGTGCAAGTGCTACTGTGAAGAAATACTAGTTGTCAGGCTAGTCCTGTTGGTTAGGCGAGTTGAACAGTGGGGGGGAGAAATGTATGGTATTCTTTCTGCAGAGACTAATTCTTGCTAAGCCCAAGTTTCCCGGGGGAGGCACTCTTGTACCTCTTCGTCCCAGAATCGTGTCCGTCACGATGATGTGTTCAGGTAACCTCCGAATCCTCTTTCGGACATGGCAGTTGTTAGGGGTAATCATATGGTCAATCCTTGGCAATAGACCTTGACATTTCCCATGGGCACCCCAGAATCTTCGGCCCACCGTACATGCCCATAGC